TGTAGCCATGACAGTTAAAGTGATGTCAACCTGCATTAATTTTGCAGGATGGCAGCAGCCTGAAATGAATAGTGAAATAATGTGGTTTGAAGCCACTTTAAGTGCTGTAGTTCTATCCTATGGAATCTTGGGATTTGTGGGTTTACTAGGTTTTTAGCCTTTTCTGCCAAAGAGTGCTGGTGCCGCACAAAACTACAAATCCCAGGGTTGTGCACAATGGCGGGCATTGTGTGCATGCGTATACGGGGGAAAGTGCATGCGCATGCAAGCGCGCGCACCTGCCCACCCGCCCCGCACCATTTCTCTCCCCCCCGGCCCCCCAGCAACAAATGTTGCCGACCCCTGGCATAGTAAAATGGTGTCCCTTATATAAAATAGCAAAATCAATGTTTGATTTTTGGAATTTGTATATATATATTTGGAATGGTGTCCCTTATATAAAATAGCAAAATCAATGTTTGATTTTTGGAATTTATATATATATATATTTGGAATAAAGTCATCCCTCCACATCTGTGTCTCTGACTTTTGCGGATTTGATTATTCACGGATTTTATTAATATGTTGTCTCTGGGAATATCTATGTCCTTCAGCGCACTCTATGGTAAACTTTAACCAAAAGTCGCACTGAAGGACCTAGAGATTCCTAGAGAAAACACTCTGCTAGGCATTTGCAACTCCTCCAACGCAATTCTGTGGTTAATATCTGGCTGATGTTGAGCACAGACTTGTCCTGGAGGACCTTGAGATTCCTATAGAGGTGTTCTCTTGGGTAAAAACATAGTGTTTTTGTAATTTGCCGTTTTTCCACATTCATGGGGGTCCTGTGCCCCTAACCCCACCGAATGTGGAGGGATGAGTGTATTTTCAAGCCGTGGATAGTTGAATCCATGGATACGGAGGGCTACTGTACTTTAAAAGAGCAGTTCCCCTCGTGACATTCTTGAATAAGGAACTTGCACAAATTCTGTCAAATACTGAGAGGCAGTCATGAGGTGAAATGTGCTAATTCTGGAGTACATCTAACATTTCCATAAGACAGCTGAATTGCCCAACAACATTTTTCCTCAGTGAATTTGCTTCTGTTTATCTACTCCTCTTAAGAGACACATTATACAAGAGGAATTTTATCCACCCACTTCTGTATATTATGATTCAGCCTCACAAGAAGTTTTGAACCATGCACTATCGTCTCCACACGTGCATGACATGGGCCCAGTTGATGCCCACTATATGGACACAGGGCAAAATGGATGCTGTACTTTTTATTACACAAAAGATGATGAGTTACAGCTTGTAACAGAGAAGTCAGAAAAGCTGCAACCATCATTAAAATATAGAGATCCCATTTACTTGGTGTCAGAACTTGGAAATGTTACTTGTTTGGTTTGCAGGCCCTAAACTTTTCTACCCAGCATAGCAACTGGTCATAATGGCTGGATTATGGATTGGGATTTTCAGTCCAAAAAAATAACTGTTCTAATCTAAAGAGAATTTAAACAGACCATGAAATCATCCGCACTGGAAAAATAATCCAGTTCGACACCACTTTAACTGCCACGGCTCAATGCTATGGAATTCTGGGAATGGTAGTTTTGTGAGACATTTTGCTTCGATGTCAGAGAGCTCTGGTGCCATAACAAAGTTCAAATCCCATGATTCCTTAACATTGAGCCATGGCAGTTAAAGTGTTGTCAAACTACATTATTTCTAAAGTGTGGATGTAGGCCATGAGAGTTTCGTACAAATTTCTTGCCCCCCCAAAAAATGTGACTTCCATGTACGGTAATCATTTTCATACTGTTTGACATTCTCAATGGTTCCCTCTTCTCCATGGTGCTAAAACTGAACTTCACAGCCTCGTTCCCACTACGATTTAAAGAGAATTGCAAATCAGGTTATATGACCGTCGTTCCCACTTGAAACCAGTTCCAATCCTA